ATAGTTGAAAGAAAAGGGTACAATGTTCTAGAGGATGTACGCTGGATAGTAAATCGCCAGATTGTTCATTTGAGCATCAGAAAGGGTCTTAGAGATCAGTCGGATGCTCCCATTTTATAGATGAGGAGACTGAGGTGCATAGAGTGATGTGAGGTGGCCCCCTTGCTGACAGTGAGCCTTACTTGGTGATGCAGCTGAGGCTAGAACCCAGGTCTGCTGATGTTTATTCAACATTCTCTCTACCACATCACACTACCTCTCATGGGAAGTGTGAGCAGCATTCTAGCAGCTAAAAGTATTGCTTATGCTGTTGTTGTTCAGTCATGTCCAGCTCTTTGTGAACCCATTTGAGGTTTTCTTGGCTGGATACTGGAGGTACTGGAGTGGTTTTGCCATTTTCTTCTCCAGCTCATTTTACAGATGAGGAAACTGAGACAAACAGGGGTAAATGACTTGCCCACAGTCACACAGCTAGTGTCTGAGGCCTTATTTGAACTCAGGAAGACTCATCTTCCTGACTTTAGGCCCAGTATGCTATCCATTTTGCCACATGGCTATTCTTGTAGGAAGGGAAATTGTTCATGTGTTCCATCATTTCATTCATGTTCGATTCTTCAGGGACCCCATTTGGGATTTTCTTAGCAAAGATACTGGAGTGATGTGCCATTTCATTTTCCAGCTCATTTTACAGTTGAGGAAACTAAGGTAAACAGAGTTATGTGACTTGCCCAGGGTCACACAGCTAGTAAGTGTCTGGGGTCAGATTGAACTCAGGTCTTCCTGACGCTAGGCCCGGTGCTGTCTCCACTGGGCTACTTCACTGCCTCAGGAAGGGAAATTTGAACCTATATAAATGTTCTGCTTGGAGAAGAGGTAGCAGCAAGCAACAATCTGGTATATTCTCTTCCTAGTCTAGCTGCTGCGATGTTGGTCCTGCAAAAAAAAAAAAACTCATAAGGGAGAGACAATACAGCCTAGCACAGCAGATAGAAAGCGGCCTTGGAATCGACAAGAATTGAGTTCAAGTCTCCCTTCTGACACATACCATCTGTGTGACCCAAAGCAAATCTCTTAACTCGTCAGAATTCCAGGCAATTAACTATAAATTACCATGCAGTGCTGAGTTGCACTGATAGATTACCATTGAAATCACATGTCTGGTTAAAACAAACAAACAAACAAAAACTTTTCCACGATTGAAATTGTTTATTTTGTCATTTGCTATCTTCTTTATCTATTGTTTGGCTATAAATTGTCCCCTAATCATAGTTGTAAATGGTTAATACATATATCTGTGATCTTGACCCCTTCCTTTCCCATCTCCCTGAAAACTTGTTCAGTCCATTATCCCCTTGCAACCTTGAATCTTTAATTGCCTCCTCTCCACATATCCTTTTCCCTCTGATTATGAATAAATTCGCTCAGGCCCCCCTGCCCACATCCTAAAAACAAAAATAAGTGGAAAAAACCTTTCCCTTGAATAGGGGATATGTGTATTTTCTATCTGAAAATGTTTCATGAGGAAAGTGCTTTGTACAGGATTACACAGTATCCTCTTTTATGCACTCTCTGGGTTAAACCAGACTAGCCAATTTGCTGTTTCTCATACCCATCATCCCATCTCTAGCCTCCTTGCCATTCCACAGGGCTAGTATGAACTCATTCCTCACCTCTGCCTCTTAGAATCCCTGACTTCCTTTAGTGCTTATTTTATGAGCCACTCCCTATTTGAGGCCTCTCCTGACCTCTCTATCTCTCTATCTACCATCCCAAAATTACCACATATTTGTATGTCTTTGGATATTTATTTTTATGTGTTTGTGTTGCTTTTCCATTGTGAAGTAAGGTCCTTGAGAATATTTTTGTCTTTGTATCTCCAGCACCTAGAAGAATGCCTGGCACAAAGTAGGTAATTAATGAATGCTTATCGATTGGTTAATACCAATACTCTTCCAGTGATGGGAAGCTATCAGTCATGGAACACTGTAGTCTTTGGAGAATTGAGGTTGAGGATAACCCAAAGGGCAATGGGGATGCACTCTGTGAGCATGAGAAAGCCACAACAAATAACAAAGAAGGTAGAAAGAAAAGCAGGCTAAAGGATGTCATCAACACAATACATAATCAAAAAAGAAGATGTGATAAGGGCAAGTAGTACTTACTCTCAACTGGTGGCTAGCCTGTGTATTCCATTGATCTATACAGCACGTTGGGAGAACCTTAGAAGGGCTGCAGAATGTTGGATAGACCTCATGCAGCCATCTTATGGGAGGAGATCTGCAACAGTCACCCAGAATCAGGCACAGACAGATTGTTGTCTGCACCACTGGAGGGAATGCTCACGTTGATGAGATCACAGATCCATCTGAGAATTTACGAGTTACAAAATGCTTCTCTCTCAACAACCGTATGAAGTAGGCAGTGCATCTATTATTACCCCCCCTTTTACACACTGGAAAACTGAAGATTAGAAAAGTTAGGTGACTTGTTCATAGTCAAACAATGATGTTGACTATGGACAAATAATCACGTTGACTATGGACAAGTCACTTAATTTTTCTGAGCCAGAGACTGTTACTTGGAGTTAGACAAGTCATTTAACTTCTCTGATTTAGGGAATGTGTACTATCCCCTCCCTTGCATGTGCTGTGCCAGGATCTTATGGTTTTGTGCCTTTTTTTTTAATAGCCTTCACTATGCATTCTCAAGCTGATTCTGATTTGTTCATACTAGGTATCTAAGATAAACCACCAATTTTATAGACACAGTAGATTATATGGATATGGACACGCAAAAGGATCTGAGCCCTTGGCCTTCCTAAGATGGTTCAGTAAGGAAGGCACATGACAGACTTGGTCGAGGACCACATCATCATGGCCATACAGGGCAAGGACAGGAAATGAAGGCAAATGCCTCAAAAGACTAATCTTTGGGAAGAAGAATTGAGTCAGAAAAATGATCATCACCTCCTAGGCCCTATCAACATGCTCTATAGTTTTACTCCTGATCCAGTAATAATAGGCCAATTGGAATCTCTTCTCCAGAAAAGTTTTCTTTTTTAGCTAATTCTAAATAATTTTCTTTTTATTGTGAAATTAGCAATCATCAACACAAATATTTCAATATATAAAGAACAAGAAAAATTGCATAAGAAATTAAGAACTTAGTTTTTCAAGATACATATTAAATTTTAACAAGGTAGTAACAAAATTCTTCTGCATATCTTCTTGTTTTCTTTTGCTCACAAAGACTCTATTTTTGTAAGGCTTTCCACTAACTCACACCTCCCTTCCTTTTCCTTTGTAACAAATGTATATAGTCAAGCAAAATAAATCAACACATTGGCCATATCTGAGAATATATTTCTCACTCTTTACCAACTAGTTTTCCCACTTGTCTCAGCTCCTTAGAATTTGGCACCCTGAAGAAACCCTGACAATCTGGCCTGGCCTTTTGGGTTTTACTCCCAAGGATCCCACTGTTGATTTTACTTCCATTCCCAAGAGGAAATTGCATTTGCCCCACATTAGGTTTGCCTAATCATTGGCCTGTGACCTTCTTTCCCTGGGAGGGATTCTACAGAAAAGACCATAGTGTTAGGATGGAACTGGTGTCACAATACTGAGATACACTGGAATTTTTCAATGGGAAGTTTATCAAATACAATAGATAAGCGGTACACAAGGATTGGCTAAGAACTGTATGCTCACTAGGAAACTTTTTCCGAAGGACAATTAGGGAGGAACTGAATCTAGGCAAGTGCCAATTGGGACAAAGGGTACACAAGATAAAGAAGGTAGAACTATTGTATAAATCTTACTAATATGTAGCTCTCCATACCCAAAGGCAAGTGCATATATGTTAATGGAAAATTATAGAGATTCAGAGAGGGAAAGGATTGGGTAATAGAGAAGTGGATGACATAATGGATAGTGTGCTGGACTGGGAGGCAGGAAGTTCTGAGTCTGAATTCTACTTGAGATTTTTGCTAGCTTGTGACTTAACTTCTCTCATTCTCAGTTTCATTATCTGTAAAATGAGGATAATAATGGCACCTATCTTACAAGATTGGTGCAAGGATCAAATGAGATAAAATTTATAAAATGTTTTGCAGACCTTGAAGAGCCATATAAATAAATGGTAGTTATTATTACTGTTATTATTCATCATGATATGGCACTCCCATGAGGTTGGGGGTGGTAGTTAATGAACGTTGCATGTGGAAAGGTGATTGATCAGAGGAGTGAAACTGCCAAAAACAGCAAACAGTGTTTCCTTCTAAGTGGTAGAAGATCAACAAGACCAACTCAAAGGATGAGTTAACGATTTTTACAAACCCATTAGGGCTTGTGCAAAAAGGAGAGGGCAGAATGGAACAACTAAACATAGGCTTCATTGCAGCACGCAAAAAGGTGATGGTAGAATTCATTAGACACATATTCAAAATGTATTAATCACTTCCCATGTACAGATGACTATGTTGGGCACAGAAGAAGATACAAAGTTAGGAAGGTAGTCTCTGCCTTCATGAAACCTACAGTCTAGGAGGGGAGATAAGACAATAACAGATGTTGTTCAGTTGTTCAGTCACGTCTGACTCTTCAGGACTCCTTTCAGGGGTTTTCTTGGCAAAGATACTGGAGTGGTTTGCTATTTCCCTCTCCATCTTATTTTACAGAGAAGAAAACTGAGACAAATAGGGTTAAGTGACTTGCCCAGGGTCACCTAGCTAGTAAGTGAGGCTGGATTTGAACTCATGAAGATGAGTCATCCTTATTCCAAAACCATTGTTCTATCCACTGTGCCACCTAACCGCCAACAACACAGATACCTATGATACTCAACATGTTAAGTTCATGACTAATAACAGCACTTTAAGGTTTGCCGAGTACTTTAAGCAAATTGTCTCATTTTTATCCTTAGAACAATCCTGTAAGGGATGTACTACAGATTTTATTTCTCCCATTTCACAGATGAGCAAACCGAGGAGACTCTAAGATGTAGTGACTTGTCTGTGGTCTGTGGTTACAGGGCTGGTAAGTATCATAGACTGCTTTTGAACCCAAGTCTTCCTAATGTCAAGTACAGCACTCTAAATGCTATACCAAACATCTTCCTATTAGAAAACTTATTGGTACTTTCTCCCAATTATTGAGTCTCTCTCCCTCTTGGAATTACTTTGTATTATTTTGCATTTATTCATATATGTATTATCTTACGGGTATTATATTCTTCAATAAAATTTAAACCTCTTGAAGGCAGGAACCAGTTTATTTTTGTAACCCCAATTCCTAGCACAATATCTTGCACATAGTAGGTATTCAATAAGCATTGAATTCAATTGAATTGAATCAAATTAAATTGGAGATATTACTAAGTGAAATGCTATGTAGAATGGGATGTTTATGCTGTCACCAGGTTAGGAAATATAAACAAAGGACAGTGGCATTCAAAACTTGAAGCAGGGTGAGATTTTGGGAAGAAATTGCCCACAGACAGAGGAAGAGGATATGTTGTTTCTCACGGTGTCCCCGAGGATATACAGGCTTGGGAAGCACACACAGCCACCCCCAGGAAGTGCCAATACAGCAATCCTATAGGGCAAGTGTGGGAACGAGGTTGAGCACCTCCCCTGGGAGACAGGGCTTACAAGCCTAATACACTCCTAAAAAAGACCAGCAGCAGCCATAGTGGTGGGAATGGTAGTTCAGGGTTAAAATAAATAAATAAATAAAAGCCTGTGGATCCCACTGGTTTGGAGAAGAATAGGAAAAAAAAAAAAGCAGGAGAGGAGGACTGGCCAAAGTGCAAGACATTCCACCTCTTGACTCTAGGCGTTTTTTTCTTTTCTTTTTTTCACTTAGTAGTATTTTTTTCCCCAATTACATGGAAAGATAGTTTTCAACATTCATTTTTTTGTAAGATTTTGAGTTCCAAATTTTTCTTCTTCCTTCCCTCCCCTCCCCAAGACAGGAAGCAATCTAATATAGGTTATACATGTACAATCGTGTTAAACATATTTCCACATTAGTCGTACTATAAAAGAAGAATCAGAACAAAAGAGAAAAACCACAAAAACCAAAAAACAACAAAAAAGTGAAAATAGTATGTTTCGATCCACATTCAGACTCTATAGTTCTTTCTCTGGATGTGGAGAGCATTTTCCATCTCGAGTCTTCTGGAATTGTCTTGGATCATTGTATTGCTGAGAACAGCTAAGTCTATCATAGCTGATCATTGCACATTGTGGTTGTTGCTCTGTACAATGTTCTCCTGGTTCTGCTCACTTCACTCAGCATCAGTTTATGTAAGTCCTTCCAGGTTTTTCTGAAATCCCAACTCGCTCTCCCTCTTCATCTCTGCCTCGGGGCTGTCCTGGCTTCCTTCAAGACTCAGCACAAATCCCTCCTGCAAGAGGTCTTTTTCAATCCCCTGAGCTCCCAGTTCCTTCCCCTTCAGATTACCTTCCATTTACACTATATACATTTTGTAAGTATATAGTTATTCTTAAGTTGCCCTTGCCCCATTTGAATGTTAATACCTTAAGGACATGGACTGACACTCTCTCTCTCTCTCTCTCTCTCTCTCTCTCTCTCTCTCTCTCTCTCTCTCTCTCTCTCTCTCTCTCTCTCTCTCTCTCTCTCCAGCATATACCGTAGTGCCTGACACATAGTAAGCACTTACTTGTTAACTGAGTGGTGTGCCATTTGTGGACATGGGGCTGATACCGCCATATTATAAAGTTGGCTGAAACTTTTAAAAAATAGATAAAGGATAATGTATTTTCCTCCACATTGGATTGGGGTTTATGATAACCCAGCTTTGGAGGGGCAGCCTGGTGCTGAATGTGAGGCTGAGGGAACTCCAAATTACCACTAGGAGATTTCCTCAGGCTGCAGACTAACAAAACAGAAACCCACACTTTACTCAGCTAGCAAAATGACCACCCGTCTGGGTGGGAGAAAGAAAAATGAAAGGAAAGGCATTATTATTTCTACATGTTTCAGGACTTTTATTTTTCTACATTACTCTGTGAGAAGAAAGGATTGTTGGCAGAGAGCCAAATCCTTCAGCTGCATCCCGTTCCATAGTCTGTGTGTGGATATGACCTATGTATGTTTCTACAGAGTAGTGGAACTTCTTAGTTTGGTTTTTTTTTTTTATCCCAGGACTACTCTGGTGGGAAAGGCCCTTAAGGACCATCTATCCCACCTGTTCTTACTTGTCTCTGGGGAAAAAACAAACAAAGGAAAGCCTCATCACTTTGACCATATTTACTCAAAGAATTTCCTTCTTTCCCCTGCACATATTTTTTAATAGCTAAAATGAGGTGAGAAGGAGGAGGGGAAGAATGATGCTGGGTGATCATTCCAGCAGTACTGAACACTGGCCCTGCTGGCTGAAGCCCAGAGAAAAGTTTTTTTAAAACTAATTTGGCCACAGAACATTTGGGGGCTTGAAATGAAACCAGCTAAACCCATAAATATTGCTTTGAGGAGAAGAGAAGTTATAGAATAACCCTGAGATAAAGGGGGCTAGGGAATATCTTGGAGCAAAATAGAGAAACATTAAGCCTATTTATGTAACAGAAAATTGCCACATCTGATAAGTACTTCTGACAACTACATAATATCATCTTGAATATTTTAGCAGAAAAAAATTGCTATGATCAAAACTTTCTCATGGAATCTCTATTCATATCTTTCAATGAAATTCAGTTTGGGAACTTTGAGTTAATAAACATTTATTAAATGTTACTACTGCATGTTAACTGCTCTGAGAACTGGGTCTACAAAGACAAAAATTAAACAGTCCCTGCCCTCATGAAGTTTACATTCTACTATGGGATACAGCATTTTCACAGATCAGTAAATACAAAGTATTAACAAAGTAATGCAGAATAATTTCAAGTGGGAGGGAGCATTAACAACCAACTGGTAAGACCCAGAAAAGTCTCATATTGAAGATGTCATATAAACTGGGCCTTAGAGAAAGCTAGGGATTCTGTAAGGCAGGTGAGAAAGAATCATAGTCTAGACATTGGAGGGGAGGGAAAAGGGCATGATTTGGGCAGTGGAGGAGATGTTGAGTTTGAGGTGCCTGCTGGGCATACAGTTAGAGATGTCCAAATGGCAATAAATTAGGTGGTACCAGACTGAAGATTAAGACTGGATAAAGGATAAAAGATTGGGTAAAGGCAGAGAAATTGGTGTGCTGGAGGCAGTTCTAACTGGCTTCAGAGAGTCCATTGTTATATTTTCAGGGAGAGCATTTACAGCTCAGAAATAAGCAATTGCTATACATCAGGGCTTGCTTTTTATTGTTTTGTTGATTGTTTAGACTTAAGAACATGTTGATAATGAAGATCAAACTTGATATTGTATATACATACTTTTTTTTTCTCCTGGAGAGTCCTGTTGTTACACTTTTATTAACACACCCCTATCTAAACGGAACATGTAGAAGGCCACCTGGACAATAATGGAGAATACATGAAGAAGAATATAACATTACACTGGAAAGGTAAGTGGGAACCAGACTAGAATGCTTTAAATGCCAGACTAAGTACATTTTATTTTATTCCCAAAGCAACAGGAAACCAATGAAGATTTTTGAGTTGGGGAGTGAAATGGTCAGATCTCTGTTTTAGGAGCATCAGTTTGCTGCGTAGAGGATGAATAGGAAAGGTGACAAAACAGAAGAAGGGGCACCTGTTGGGAAGCAAGAGATGAAGAAAGCCTGAACTGAAGTGGTAGTTATGTGAATGAAGAGAAGGCAATAGATGAAGACCTGGTAATTGATTATATTGGGGAGTGAGCAAGAGAATGAGTCAAGGATCACTCTAAGATTGTGAATTTGGGCAACTGAGAGTTTAGTGGTAACAAACTGAAATAGAGAAGTTTTGAAGTGTAGTAGGTTCGAGAGGAGGGGAATTGCTTTGGGGGGGGGGGAAGCCAGATGTTGAGTTTGACGGGCCTGCAGGGCATATAGTTAGAGATGTCCAAATGGCAATAAATTAGGTAATAACAAAATGGAGATTAAGACTGGATATAAAGATTGAATTGAACTGAGCTGAATTGATATATGGATTGAATTGAACTAAACTGTTGAATTTTCAACAAAATTTAATTGAGCATGGTTGGTACCTCCTCTGATGGTATTTAAACTTACTCTCGTTAAACCTTTTTTAGATCCAGGACTGCTCCTGCTGACAACCTTCCAGAAAAGAAAAAAAAAAAGAAAGAAAAGAAAAGAAAAAAATGACATTTCCTCCAAAACATTGGAAGGTGGAGTTTATTATAAAGGGAAGGAAATACAAGAGTTAATATGATCATAAGAAGAAGAATGCCTTTTATAGAAAAAAAAAATGGCTAACCACTATGAGTTATTAGTAAAAAGAGAGAAGTTAAATGATTTGTTCAAAGCCACTTAGCTAATTAGTGACAGGATCCTTTTTAAATGGAGATTTCTTGCCATATAAAGGGATCAAAAGATTTAGAAATGGAAGATATCTTAAAGATCATCTAGTCCAAACCACTTATTTTACAGAAGAGGAAACTGAGGCCCCGATTGCTGAACAATATGCTGTAGGTCACTCAGCTAGTTAGTGATGGTTGGATCTAGCCTAACATAGGATTTAAGACTGGTAGGGACCTTAAACAACATTTAGCCCTGGCCTCTCATTTTTACACAATGAGGAAAGTGATGCTTAGAGAGGTAAATTGTTTGCCCAAGGACACATTACGAGGAGTATCAGGGATAGCATTTTAAACCTTGGTTTAAAATCTAGCACTGAAGCCAGTGCTTTTTCTCCTGATAGGGCTTTTGATCGCTAAAACATGTCATTTTTAAGGAGCGAAGTAAAGGTGGCCTTTATCTGCAAGCAATACTCAATAACTCAATGAAGCCGGTGCTCTCTAGTACAAACAGGATATGGGTTAATCTGTAGAAAGCATTATTGTCTGGTAACAAAGGGGAATTGGAGATTTTAGCCACGCAGAACTGTTTCTTGTTTTAAGAACCTGTTCTCATTTAAGCTACACAATATGGAACAAAATCCACTCCAACATATTTGATTTCAAAGAAATTGTAGAACCCACTCTTTGCTAATACAAACACAAAAGAGGGTACAAGTTGTCTTTTTGTGTAAAAGGGATGGAAATAATTAGGTGAAGAGCATTGTTTGAAAGAAATTTCTATTCACCCCACTAGAGGGGGCTACAGCTCTGAGAGTGGAGAGAAACACCGCTTTTCTCACTGGCCTATACTGCCATGAAGATTTTCCTGTCACATTTGCTTTTTCTTTAAATCTATTTTTTCTTTTTAAAAGAGGTATTAAATGGAACTGGGGCTAATAGAGGTCTGAATGATGGAAGGGAGATTTAGGGTTCCATCTTGGTCGGCTTCATTTTCCAATTCTCTTTATTCTGTCATAAATTTCACCAGGGACATAAAATTAGAGATGTCTGGGTCATAAAATACCCCTTAGAACAGAGGGTCAAGATGGCTCAGAAGATAGGTAATGGGATAGGTAATGGACTAGAGAGCCTTTCACCTCTTAGTCACTGCTCTGAATTTGGCCCTGGTTTGTAGTGATCAAAAGCCCTTCTGAGGATGAAGGATATTTTTCACTGATGGGATATTGGAGGTGGGGATCAGTTTAGAGGTGAAGGGCCATGGAGACTAGTCTTGACTCTGCAGAGATGAAGAATGAGGCCAACAGTGTGGTGGAAACAGCCTCAGCTAGGGAGTCAGAGGAATTGGGTTTAAATCCTGGTTCTGCTACTTAACATCTGTGTGACCCTGAGAGACTCACTTCATCCATTTTGGCCTCTGCTTTCCCATCTATAAAATGACAGGATTGGATAACATAATCTCTAAGTTTAGGCAGTTAGATAATCTGATAGCTAAGTGCAGGTCAGGAAGACCTGAGGTCAAACCTGGACTTGGATACTTTCTAGCTGTGTGACCCTGGGCAAGTCACTTAACCTCAGTTTCCTCATCTGTAAAATGGGAAGAATAATAGAATCCCTTTTGGGGTTGTTGTGAGGATCAAATGAGTTAAGATTTGTAAAGCATTTTGCAAACCTTAAAGTATTACACAAATACCAGTTTTTATTATTATCCTAACCAGTACAAGTTGCCTTAGTTTTAAGAAAACTTAAAATATGGATGTAACAAAGGCAGTCCAGCCACAATGTCAGTACTTTTATATTCTCACACTGTTTCATCTGTTTTTTGACCCCCTAGGCTCACAGACTACAAAGATGGCCATAAGATGCACAGACTTCGCTGCATGGTTATTGAATCAATCAATCAACATGTATTAGTTACTGCCTATTATATGCTAGGTATTATACTAGATGCTAGAGATACAAAGATAAACTGAAGGTAAAATCTAAGGCCATGTGTCATAGGTAAGCTAACTTGCCTCAGTTACCATTGTGTGTCTGCCCCAAGCCGAAAGGATGGGTAAGAAGGCAAGAGTATATTCCTTCTACCATTGCTTAAAATGCTCATCTATTGATACAAATAATAAACATCACTAAAACAGTCTTCTCTCTATGAAAGGATCCAAGCTGAGTTTCTCCAAAGAACGAGTCCCTTTTGTACCTTTAAGATGTAAATCAATTTGCAAATTTTTAATATAGGTAATTGATCTAGAACGTATGTATTGTTTAAAGTGAAAAAAATGAGCATCTTTGCTAGGAAAAAAGTCATGTTCATGTTTGCATTGGGTTCAATTTCATATATAATATACTGGCATCATCAAAGAAATACATGATAGAAAAATAATATGGACTGGTCACATGGCAAGCACCCTAAATAAACTATGGATGGCCAGTGTGATTCAGTGCTATTCTCACAATGTCAGGGGAAATAAGGAAAGGCCCTCAGCATATTGGGTGGTCCCTAGATGGCAAATTTATAAGAAGGCACAGACAAGAGCTACAGAAAGAGAAGGTAGGGATGAGTTGTGATCTAAATCAGTGGATTTGACCATATTTATGATGTCACAGATATATTTGAGTATTTTTGAGAATATTTGCCAGTTCATACAACATAGCATACAATAAACATACACACACACATACACACATATATATATACATATGCATACGTATATAGATACAATACATCATACAACATATGCTTGGAGTCAGGAATGTCTATGTTCAAATGATGCTGCCTCTGATACTAACTACCTATGTGACATGGACAAGTCATATCAGCCCTTCTATATGCCTCAGTCAGTTCCCTAGGACTTATCTGATAGGTCATAGATGGAGTGTGGAGAAAGATTCCATACCAGTAATTTTCAACGTTAGTGAAATCGCACATTCTTCACATATTTACATATGTATTAAGCTCAGGAAAATCATTAGAAAGGAAATAACAGCAATAAACTCTAAATAAATTTCTTTGATTGACAAACAACCCTGACATATATGATGGCTCCATGAAGACCATACTAGAAACAAGAATATACCAAGAGTGATTATTTTTCTTTTTTTTTTTCATCAAAATTCAACATGTCAACTTCATCTCAAAAATTACAACATAGACTATGTATCTGAGCTGAGGATGTATGTCATAAATCTTGGGGGGAAAAAAACAAGACTTGGAATCATAAAACATAGCTGAAAAGGAATTTTAGACATCATTTTTTTCCAACTTCCTCATTTTACAGATGAAGAAACTAGAGACTTACAGAGGAGAGGTGACCCGCCCAAGGTCATACAGCTACATAGGCCTGGATCCAGAGATATAGTTAAGGCATGACATGATTTAGTGAAAAAAAGCAAGTCCTAATTGCATCATTTTCCAGCCGTATGACCATGGGCAAATCATTTCTCTAAACCTAAGTATCCTCACCTATAAAATGATGGTAATAAAGCTTCTCCTACCTACCTCACAGTTGTTAGAATCAAATGTGATAATTTATGTGAAAGAACTTTGTAAACCCTAAAGCACTATGCATGTGAAAGATACTGTTTTTATTAGTAGATGACTTTAAGTAGCCTTTAAGATTTGTAAAGACCTATACTTGACCTGTGTAGTTTGTCATTTTTAATCAATTACTTGGATTAGGATATAGATGGCATATTTATCAAAGCAAATAGTACAAATCAAGGATGGTCCAAAACACTGGGCCAGATTAAATAAGCTGAAATTTAATAAATATAACTATAAAGTCTTATACTCAGGTTTAAAAAGTCAATTCCAGTTTTTCTGATAAAGGCCTCATTTCTCAAATATATAGAGAACTGAGTCAAATTTATAAGAACATGAGTCATTCCCCAATTGATAAATAGTCAAAGGAAATGATAAGGCCGTTTTCAGAAAAAGAAATCAAAGCGATCAATAGTCATATAAAAAATGCTCTAAATCACTATTGATTAGAGAAGTGCAAATTGAAACAACTCTGATATACTATCTCACACCAATCAGACTGGCTAATATGACAGAAAAGAAAATGACAAATTTTGGAGGGGATATGGAAAAATTGGAACACCAATGCACTGTTGGTGGAGTTGTGAACTGATTCAACCATTCTGGAGTACAATTTAGAATGATACACAAAGGGCTATAAAACTGCATATACCCCTTGGCCTAGCAACACCACTACTAAGTCTATATCCCAAAAAAGATTTTTTTAAAAAGAAAAGAACCTATATGTATGAAAATATCTATACCAGTTCTTTTCGTGATGGTAAAGAATTGGCAATTGAGGGAATGCCCATTGACTGGGGAATGGTTAAACAATCTGTGCTATATGATTGTGATGGAATACTCTTGTGTTCTAAGAAATGATGAGCAGTCTGCTCTCAGAAAAGCCTGGAAAGACTTACATGAACTGATACAAAGTAAAGTGAGAAGAACCAGGAGAACATTGTACACAGTAACAGCAATGTTGTACAATAAGCAACTGTGAAAGACCTAGCTATTCTCAGCAAAACAATGAGCCAAGGCAGTTCTAAAGGACCTATAATGAAAAGCCACCTCCAGAGAATGACCTGATGGAGTCTGAATGCAGATCAATGCATTTTTTTTAAACTTTCTTTTTTTTTCCATGGGTTTTTTCCTGTGTTTCCTTTTGCTACTTGGATAATATGAAAATATGTTTTGTGTGACTGCACATGTATGTAATCTATATTAAATTGCTTGCCTTTTCAAGGAAAGGGTCAAGGAAGGAGGAAGGGAATTTGGAACTCAAAATATTTTTAAAATGTTAAAAAATGTTATTACATGTAATTGGAAAATATATAAACATTTTCTTTTAAAAAATTTATGTATTTTTTATAATTAATGAATTTATTTTTAGTTTTCAACATTCACTTCCATAAGATTTTGAGTTTTAAATTTTCTGTCCCTCTCTCTCCTCCCTCATCACCAAGATGGTGTGCAATCTGATATAGGCTGTACTTATACATTCATATTAAACATATTTTCACATAAAACATTTTCACTTAAAAAAAAATCAATTCCACAAGTCCAAGAAAGGGGAGGCATGGTGAAACAGCAATTTGTCTGAAAAAAAAAAACCTAGGGTTTTTAGTAGACTGCACATTCAATGGGAATCAACAATGTGATATGGGAGCCAAGAGGGTTCATGCTTTTTTCTTAGGGTGCATCATGACAAGCATAGTGCCCTCCAGGACTGCCCTTGTCAGCCAACATCTTGGTTATTGTGTTCAGTCCCAAGTGCCATATTTTAATAAGAATATCGATAAGGTAGAGAGTGTCCAAAGGAGTACAACTAGGAAATTAAAGACTACAAGTTCCTTTTGGATTCATGCCAAATGGTTTGAAGATATTGGAGTAGGGAGACAGTTGAGACAGCACAGCAGAAATCACTATTTTGAGTGTCAGATGATGTGCAAAGGTGGTGATCTGAGAGACACTTTGATCTGCAGATTTCCTTTGAGCAGGACTACATTTGCTGCTGAACAGTTTCCTGGAAGTCTGATAGGTGGACAAACAATGAGATCCAGGACCAGTCCAAGTGGGTCATGAACTGAGCTTGACATTATTTTGCAACTTCTCTGTAGGCTTCGTGGAGATTGTGTAGCCATCTCTTTTCTTCTTGTCCTGTTGTTAAGACTGGAAGCCATTTCAGGCAGGAAAGAACACCTCATTTAATTTAATCCACCAAGTATTTTCTGAGTCTTTTTACAATTCAGGCATTGTGTTAGGTGCTAGTGATACAGAGGCAAAACTGAGAAGAGTCCCTGACCTCAAGGAGGAGCTTCTAATAGGGACATAGAACATCTATATAGATAAGTAACTATCCTTTGAGGATGGAGAGAATGCTCACAACTGAGGCTCAGGAAAGGTTTCATTTAGGAGGCAGCACCTCAGCTAAGCCTTGAATACAGCTCAGGTGTTCTAAAAGACAATGATGAGGAAAGAGTGTATTTTGGGCATATGGCTCAGCCTATGCCAAGGCATAAGGATGGGAGATAGAAGGCCAAGTTTGGGGAATAGCAATTGGCCAGTCTGTATGCAGAATATGGCAAGGAGAATAATGTGAAATAAGCCAGGAAAGGTGGACTAGAACAAGACTGTGAAAGGATTTCATGAAAAATCGAGGAACTTGTATGTTCTCTAAGAGGTGATAGAGAGGCAACGAAGATTCTCAAGCCAATGAGTGACATGGTCAGATGTGCTTCTGGTAGATGTGCTATGAGGAGGGTGGATTGGAGAGGAGAGAGACTGGAAGCTGGGAGTACAATGAGAAGTAGTCCAGGTGAGAGGTGGTGACAGCTTGAATTCAGGTAGAGGTTGTGTAAGTGGCAAGATGATCATTAGTTTGGATATGGAAGTTGTAGCAATATGATTTGGCAAAGATTCTATAGGAAAAGAGCCAGGTGCAGTAGGGTGCTTGACTTTGAAACTCATAGTTTTGGTGGTCTGCACTAAATTAATATGCCCTATAGTGTCTTTCATCATGTCTTCATTCTTAGCACTACTACCACCACCATCCTTTCATTATGGATTTTGTTCAACAAGAGCTATAGAAATATGAGCTATTGTTAATATTACTACACAGGTTTCTTCCTGAAAAGGAGTTTACAATGAGGGGTGACCAAGAAGCAGCAGAAAATTCCCTTGTTTTTGGTCTGCCTCTTCATCTCTGTCTCTGTGTGTCTGTCTTTCTCTCAATATGTTGGGAATAGATAGATTTTTATGTCATTTTTGGAAATGCCATCTTGCTTAAGTGGATGATGGTAGCTTATAGACAGTTATGTGAAAACCAGAAACAAATCATTCTTCTGTTTCCCCTTACTAGAAGCTGACTTCATGATGGGGGCAGGGACATAAGACAGCCTTTGAAGAAACAAGGGAGGTAGCTTGGCATCAATAGAGTATGAGGTCATTATAGTACTAAGCAGATGGCATCGGAAAAGGACCTGTGCAGGGTGCTGGAAGTGGAGTAATTAGATTGATGTGTTAAACAATAGAGAAATGATGGGGAAAGGTGGGGGTTGGGGGGAGAAGGGAATGGAGGAAGAGAAAGAGAAGAAAAGAGGGAGGAAGGGAACAAGGGAGGGAAAGAGAGCTAGCTCCCTTCTGATGGCACAGGTGGGGAGAAAGAAAGTGAAACAGTGAGACAGAAAGAAACAAAGAAAAAGACAGAGAAACAGACAGAAGACCAAGAGACACAGACAGAGACCTGGTTTCTTTCTGATAACACAGCCTCCGTGGCCCTCCTTTCCAGTGCTACCTGCACTTTCATTTATTCCCCCTGACTCACTGACTGCAGTGGAAGAGTTGAATATTTCTTGCTCCCTACTGTCACTTCCAGGTTCTCTCTCTACCACAATCATTAAGTAACCTGTCCTTTGAGATTCAATCAATCTGTATCTACAACCCAAACAAAATTCTGGTAGCTGTTGTCTGACAGCTTCCAGGACATTCTCCTTCTTTCTTCAATGAGTTCAGTGTCTGACTCAGTCTTTTTCTCCTCCCCAACTCCTGCTCTCCCATTAGAGGACTTCAACACACATATTGATACTCCCTCAAGTGCTCTAACCTCATAGTTCCTAACATTTCATTTAACCTCTTCCTCCACTTCATCTCAACTACACATAAAGATAGTCATATCCTTGATCTCACCATCACCCATAGATGCACCACTTCCATGTTCATGAACTTTAAAATTCCCTTATTTGATCATAATCTGTTACCATTCCACCTCTCCATCTGTCTTGCAGTCCCAAGCCCTGTTCTTTAGTCTCATTGTGACTGCTAATCGTTTCACCCGTCAGTTATTTCCCAGGCCATATTCCTGCACTAACTATATTCTCTTCCATTTTGACCCCCTGGTAAACCAGTTCAACTCTACACTGTACTCTTCTCTTAAGTCATTTACTCCCTTATCCCATTGCTGCTCATATCCTGCTAAACTTTAACTTTGGTTTAATCTCATCATCCACTGCCTTTGCCCCCATTCACCTAAATGAATCTAGAAAAGATTGTGAAACTGGGCCGACTAGGTCCATTACAAATTTATGTTACTTCTGAGTCCTCACTGCAATAAGGCAATCCTGTTACATGTTCCTAGTTAACTCAGTATCCCACTCATCAGAATAGTTTTTTCCAAACTTGTTAATTCTTCCTTAAGTTTTTCATGGTTCCCCCTCTCCTTGCCTCATATGTCACTGAAAAAATTAGACAATTCATTAAGAGCTTCCTCTTCCCCCTCCTCCTCATCTCACATCTCCCCGATGCTTTCTGCCACTATCTTCTCCTTCATTCATTTCTCAGATGAAGAGATGATCCTTCTATTTGCTACAGTAAACCTCTCTACATGCATAAGCAATCTCGTTCCA